ATTTTTTATCCGCTTTTGAGACACAAACCAATCCAAGCAATTTTGTAAGACTCCATGAAACCTTTCAACTGTCACATTCACGTCTACATCACCAAATAATGCATCCTAGTCACATGATGCTAAATAATCATTAATTGCAGTTAAAGTTAGCATTTGTAAAATCGTTAAAGAGTTCATCAAAATCTGATTGACTACACTTTGCTAAAATTGTACAGTAAAATAGGTGGCAGTGAAGATATTTTCAAAATTGGTTTTACCGAAAACAGAAATCAACTCACACAAGAATTGAAATTCATTTTATAAATTATACTAAGTGACACATAAAATGCAACACCCAGAATTATTTATTTAACTTTGATTAAAACTTAAACATATTTGTATATCATGGAAGTGTGCTGATAAAATGTTGAAGGCATTCCGAGTCGTACTTTTTTACAATGGCTTTTTTGTTATTTCAGGATCCGAACAATATGAACATGTTTACTTGATATTCAGTGATTTGTTCAGTGTTGGTTCCATATGTTTCATTGCATTATCAGGCCTAGACTTCGGATATGCACTAAGTTTACTCAACTCCGAGTTTGAGAGGGGCCGAATAATCCGGTTACGTAAAGCCGGATTTTCTTTTAGAGAAATCGCTAATCGGGTGAATCGAAACGAAGCTACTGTAATGAGATGTCGAGCGTGGTTCCAATAAGGCTGAAATAGACGAGTTAGAGGTACTGGACAGACTTCAGAGCGAAAGGATCGTTATTTGAGGCAGCCGGCCGATTTTGCACAGCAAGGGCAGTGGCGAATCAGTGCTTTGATGCTGTCGCAAGGGCAATAATAATGAAGACAGTTAATCGCCGAATAAGGTCTTTTGGACTGGTTTCATCCTTACACATGATGGCCATGCAAGAGTAAGGAGGAACGCCAATATTTTATCGAACGGCATATTCATCGCAGTGTGGGTGTTATGGTATGGGGTGCCATTGCTTATGGCAGCAGGTCATGATTAATGTTCATTCGAGGTAGCATGACTGCCCAGCGCTATATCCACGAAGTTTTACAAACACATCTGCTTCCCTTTTTGGAAACATTGCATGATCCACTTTTTCAGCATGACAATGCACGACCTCATCTCGCACATGTTAGTTTAGACTTTTTAGAAGCGTCGGGAGTGAATCTGCTTCAGTGGCCTCCTCGATTTCCAGACCTTTCCCCCATCGAACATGATGGAAAGAGGGTTGCAAAATTCACCGCACCCTCCACAAACATTGGAGGCTCTACGAAACCAAATTTAGATGGCCTGGGAAACATTACACCAAGAAGACATCAATCACCTAAACAAAAAGCTGTGCTACGTGAAGCTTTCAATGCTTATAATACCAAATGGAAGAGCATTTTAATTAATTTATTCTTCTTCTTCTTCTTCTTCTTCTTCCTACATTATTTATAGGCTCATGCCTGTTTTACTTCGGTTTTTAGCCTCAATTGATGTTGTCTGACCATCTTTTCCTCGGTCGTCCCATTCATCTTCATCCATTTGGCGATTTGTCTCTTGCTATTCATGCTGTTCAATTTTCTGTCATTCTTTCTATGTGTTGATTACATTCTATTTTTCTTCTTTTGGTCTACGTCTACAGGTTTAGTTCCTCTATACCACATCTCGCTCATATTTCCTCACTTCTTACTCTGTCTCTTAGAGTTTGGATTGTTATTTTTCGTAAGACTTTCATTTCTGCTGTTTCCAATAATATTTGTGTTTTCGCCGTATCTGCTCTTGTTTCCGCTGTGTAGGACATTATCGGTCTTATTGTTGATTTATATATCCTAGTTTTCGTCTCCGTTGTGAGGTATTTGTTTCTCCAGATTGTATTGTTGAGACATCCTGCTGCCCTGTTCGCCATGTTCACTTGTTTTTGTACTTCTTCTTCCACTTTTCCATAGCTTGACAGTTTGATTCCCAAGTATTACGTTTCCATCACTTGTTCTATTATGTTGTTATTTACGACCAGTTTACATCGTCTCGGTTCCGCTGATATCACTATCGATTTAGTTTTCTCTGTTGAAATCACCATGTTGTATATGAGCGCCGTATCTTCGAATTCTTTAATTAATCTTTGCAGGTCATCTTCATTTTCGGCTATTATTATGGCATCGTCGGCGTAGCATATTATCTGCATTTCCTTTTCTCCCATTCTATATCCTCTTCTTTTTTTAACTTCCATTATGATTTCATCCATTATCAGATTAAATATTAGTGGGCTCAGCTAATCTCCTTGTCTAATGCCAGTTTCATAATTGATAGGTTGCGAGAGTTTTCCTTTACATTTTACCATAGCTATGTTATCTTTATATATATTCTCAATAGTTTTTACTAAATCCAGTGGTATTCCCCTGTCATATAATAAATGTATCGCGTCCCGAATTCTCACTCTATCAAACGCTTTCTTCAATTCTATCAGGCACATATATATGCTGGTTTGTTGTATTCCAGCGACTTCCCTTTTATTTGTCTTATTACAAAAACTGCATCCGTGCATGATCTTCCTGTCCGGAATCTTTGCTGTTCCTCTTGCAGAGTTATTCGTTCGTTTACTTTTGTCGCTATTATTCTTGTTGTCAATTTGAGTGTTGTATTTAACAGATTTATTGCTCGATAATTATTGGGGTCTTTCTTATCTCCTTTCTTGAATAACATCAGCATGATCGCTCTCCTCCATTCATCTGGTATTCTGTTCGTGGTGATTATTTTTTGAATAAGGAGTTGCAGTTGTTGTTCAACGTAATCACCTCCATATTTTAGTTCATTTGGTATTTGATCTGCTCCTGGTGACTTTCTATTTTTTAATTTATTTATTCCTTGTTTCACATCTTCTTGGGAGAAATGGAAGAGCATTTTAATTAATTTATTGTAATACTAAATAAGCGTTAAGAACAGCGTTTCTAACTACATCGCTGCTAATTAAATCATCGCTAATTAAAACCTGAAAGTGAGTATGAAATGAATTGCAAAAATAACAGTCCCTGATGACCTTGGCATTATAATAAAATGTAACGAAAACATCGCTCTTTCGTTGACGCTCTGGTTGCTATAGCATATACTGCTAAAAATAGATCACATTTACAGTTTTTTGGCAGCAATTTTCATACCTTCATGCTCGTTAAATTTCCATCCAATATTGACGTGTTTCTATTGAAAATGGACACAGCCTTTTTTAGACACGAAACAATGTTATAGGCAGTTTTCTTAAAAATTCAGACTTTGTGAAACAAAATAGCTTTTATCAGTTTATTTTTCAACCCTGGTAATGCTGTAACATTCGAGAATTGATACAAAATACATGCAGCGTGAGTTTTCAGGGCATAATCGGGGTCAGTATCCGTACTTATAAAATATTTTAAAAAAATCAAACTTATTTACACAAAATAATAGGCAATTATATGCGCCTTACTTGAAAAATATGCCCTACGTGATAACACAGGCATGCATTTTATTTTTGATGGGATAACCTCATATAATTCTTCCTTGTATCCTGAAAGGTCACTTCAAAAAGAGTTTGATACAGTATTATCACTAATTCCTTGAATTACTGGAAACGTTGTATGCCAAAATACTCCATTCTGACATTTGGCAAGTCAGTATTTTCTACAAACACAAACATTTTCATCAAAATGAAATGTTTATACAGAATTTTTAAAAAGACAAGATGTACTTTTTCACAAATGAACAAAACACTCCGAAATCTTTTATTATGAATTCCCTTTTTTATGAGCTTTAGAGCCGATTTCACCAACATTAATATTATGGACCAATGGGAAAATACCTTATCGAAATTCAATTTGACGGAAGCTGTCAAAGCTCTCAGAATATCAGTGATTTCTATTGAAATATTGAATAAAATCGTGAAAATTCGATCCTATCAAACATCCCTACTCCCAAGATGTATAACCCAAGGTACCGACGGAGCTATTTTGCGGCGTCATGGAAATTAGATTTGCATTTTTTCAAGTGTTGTGCAATGATTTTGGGAAAAATGTCACGAATAGTCTTATAAAGCATAGTAGAGTATATTTCAACAGTTGGCGGAACTTACTCCACTGGGACCAGGAGGGTGAAACGGGATATTAATGCACAATCTGGCAACCCTGTCGCACCCTCACAAAATGGCCGCTGACAACCACACAAGTCTCCGTGGTGTGATTGAATAGCATGGAATTAAACCTTCAGAGTATGTTTTGTGACTGGTACCAAGAGTTGACACAGCCCACACATGTGTCGCTCCTTGAAATGCAATAATCAGCTGACATATACAGAAGTGTATTCAGCTGCGGGGTCACCCAAAACATTAATTTTTTTTCTTATTACTTGTCGATAAAATTTCGTGAGAATGTTATCGTTTCATTCTTGATGTAAGACTATCTCATTGCCAAAAAATCAAGTTGAAATTATTTTTTTCTGGGTGTAACACTTCTAATGTCACCGAGAATGTAATCGATTATTCCAACAGAGGATCTAGAAGGGATTATGTACTGTAGATATATGTATGGCACCACTATCACATTTGACCATGTTGCATTTTTTAATGAGTGGTTAAATTTAAATATATGACTCCCAAGGTTCTTATATAATGGTAGCCATCACAAATTGCTGCAGAATACGTTAATCAATTATATTACTTATTGTAACTTCTGAATATCTCGTTTTAACATTCCATCGACAGCCAACAAGTTTACAAAGACAGCGATCTCAAGTGAAATAGTGTTTAGTTAAAACGTTTCACGTTGTGTTCGAAAAGTGAGTGTGTAACAAATGTAAAACACTTTTTGGAATCCTATGACAACTACGTAACCATGTTAACAAAGTCAACATTCACTTCCAACTACAAAAATTAAATATTTGCAATTGTTTATTCGAGATAAAAGTGTAATTTACGAACCGAACTGGTTGCTTCAGCTGATACTGTTGGTAAGTAAAAATTAGTTTGATAATATTTCCTGCATACTCGCTAATTTTACTGTTTTACTGATAATTCTCCTATATTTCCTGAAAAGCTTAAAAACATTAATAAAAAGTCCTTATTTAGAACACTAAAGTTGTATCAAAAATGCTTTTTAGTTTTTGTACAGCTATTAAAAATATTTTTTTGAATTGTTGAAAAAATAGGTCGGAATTCAGATTCAGAATAGCCAAGAAATATTACATGTCACTTATATAGTGCCTATACCATAGTGAAGGGTGGAATAATGGCTCCAGGAATGAATAATCCATCCAAGGGAAATTCTAGGCGTGATTCTACTACCTTCCAGGGAACGAAGTTAACTGTGTGATAAATACTTTAATGATATGAATAACTTAAAATATTGTTTTGTTGATAATTGATGCATTCACAAACTTGTTTGATACACCTACATTTATTACACCTACTGCGCTAAAGAATATTGAAAACAAGGACGCATTTTACTGATAGAAAGTGGACGTCGTTCAATATTATCTTACGGGGAGCTGTATTGTTTAACACTCGATACAAGACTGCTCCACGGGCCTTTAATAAAGGTGAAAAAGTGCGGAAGTCTCGCCTTCGCCCACCAGGCTCATATCTAAAGACGAAGTTATCTTTGTGATGAAACAGAGGTATGGACAACCTGGAAAATTGATGAATTCACTTATTTGAATAACGTCAAAAAAGACGTCAGACGCTGTCAGAAATGCAATAGAACACTTTCTAGCTTCTTATTGGCTATTGAACTCTCTTATTTTCAAGAATGGACCCTCGCCTGTATCTACCGTTCACAATATGTACTCTTACACACGGGTTACAAAATCCGGCATGTAGTTATGTATCTCGCAATCACACATAGTGTTTTAAGCAGCAGCATTTTTATTGGTTGTTCAGCAGTCTAACATTCACTTTTTTTCGCCTGGTTGATGAAAGGACAGCAGTACATCGCATTTCCCCTCTCTCCTCACATCCTGCCCCGTATTCGACCATGATATTAACAACCGGCCGATCGCCGGTACTCTTTGGTTCTTTGGTATTTTGCAGCACCAGGAAACCGCTGTGCATTCAGAGCGGAAAATATGATGCTTCAGTGTCTGCATTTCATAACATCATTACTTTATGAACGCTTGCTTGATCATTTACGATCCGTCAGTATACTATGTTTCTTTTCAAAGATATTAGAAAAGGTTTTTTTATATCGAAGCAGCCGCGCAGGCAGAAGCCTTAATGCCGGAACACCGCGGCTCCTGTGATGATCCCAAATAAATTTTGTTAATACGATTTTTAAACTGCCTAAGTTTAATAGAACTGGTAAAAACTTCCTCTTGTAGATTGTTCCACAATCTAGACACTCTCGGGACAAAGGAGCGGTCATATCGGCCAGTACTGGATGTACGAGAACTAAGAAGCAAAGCCGGCCGCGACTATCTGTTAGAGAAGAGTCGTCGATCAGTCGGACCGCACTCGTCTGGACAGCATCGAGCATGGATAATGCAGTCGGGGCGGCAGCACCTCCATCCTAGTGTAGGGAACCCTTTGAATTGACGGCACTTGGGCGTTGGGAGGGACGTCCATGGTGGAGTTGGCAGCAAAGATCTTGACTAGCACTTCCGCCTTGGCCTTTGAGTCGAATACAATCATTCCATCCTGACACATAAGTGGTGGAAGGCTGTGTAAGAAATTCTTTTCAATCTGCTTGGCCAGCGTCCAGAAAGACCGACTGACATTGCGCTGCGACATTACCCTGTGCCTAATTCTTATATCATGCTGGGTTTTGGCATTCCGAACCGCTTCGTTATATTTGTTTCTGGACTTGACGTCGGCTTGTCTGTTCTCTACAGTGGGGTTTTGTGTCTTGATCTTCTGCTGGCGAGCAGTGTCACACGATTTGTTAAACCAGCCGTTGGACACTGGTTTAGACACTTTCACTGTATGAGGGATGTATTCCTCCATTCCGACGTGGATAATTTCGGTTATCGAAGAGCAAACAGCCGACGCATCCGCGTCAGTGAAACAGACATCTCTCCAAGAAAATTTAGAGAAGAAGTCTCTGAGCCCTTCCCAGTCGACGTGTCCGTAATGCCAAGTTTTGCGGCCTGTACGAGTTTCTGCTGCCACAGCAGATTCTGACCGAAACCTAACTTCCACAACACCGTGGTCTGAGTTACCCAGGGGGGACAGGACAGCAGTGCTATAAGGGACAGGATGCGTGGTCAGAAAGAGATCCAGCAGGCTACTCGCGTGTGACGAGACGCCGGGCAAAAAAGTAGGGCACGTCACCAGCTGGATCAGCCCTTGACTAAGAGCGAACGCTTCGTCTGCACGACCTGCTGCATCGGTCTTGTTTGAGCCCAACCAAAGCTCATTATGGGCATTGAAATCACCAAGAAGAACTACATCTGAAGCGGTGTGATTGATATTCAGGAAGACGATTTTGACGGCGAGGTATTCAAGCAGGTCATCCCAGTTATGGTCCGAGGGAGAGCGATAAAGGCAGCAAATAAATTTGGGTGATGTTTTGGAGTTGAGGCGAAGCCACATAATGTCCTTCCGGTCTGATTCCAAAGAAACATCTCTGGAGCAGGGAAGACTGCTTCGGACAAAAGCCACAACTCCTCCGTTCTTTCTCAGATTGGAGTGCACCTCGTAGTTTGGGAAGTGAAGATGGTTAATCGGTGCAGACTCTTGAGATTTTTGTCTCCGCCAAGAAAAGCATAGCGGGACGATTGGATTGCAGGTAGCGATGAACAGCATCAATGCTGCTGTGAATCCCGCAGATGTTCGTAAAACAAATTTTATCTTCCATGTTGTTCCCTCGAGCCCACCCTCCACCCGGACATTCCGAGAGTGGAGTGAGTTGACGTGCGGAGTTCTTAGTGCTCGAGGGATCCATCATCATTCATTTCTTTGTTTTGGAAGACAACCGACTGAATAGCTTAGGTGTGGAAATATGCGGACATTTATAAGACACCCTGGGAAAAGCTAGCGGGTGGTACCGCCTCGGTCGACTGGTCCTTGTATACCAACTTTTTTTTACGTGTTAGTGATATTAAATAGACCTAATATGTTCCGTTGGCGGACTTGTTCCGCCACCCGGTAATCGGTACTGAGGTATTCCTTAACGCGTTTACAATTACTTGAACGGGAAGATACACATTACTGAATACAACTTCCGGAACAACCATTATGCAACGGCCCCGCTCAGTAGGGGGGGTCAACTAATTGAATACTTAGAGATGAACAATCAGTCTGGATTTCGAGCTGGGCACAGTACAACCTCTTCACTACTCCATTTGACAGACAATATCTTAAATAATATGGATAAACATACTAATACAGTCTTAGTGATGAGTAACTTCTCTAAGGTGTTTGACACGGTTAACCACAAGATTTTATCGAGTAAGTTAAAGTATATTTGACTTTCTGGCAATCCTCTCAAGTTTTTTGAAACTTACTTATCTAATCGTAAACAAAAGGTAGACAGTTAGAGGTCTCATCTTCTGTAGGCGTTTCTTCAGCTGTCCCTCAGAGGTCTGATTTAGGTCCTTTGCTGCATTGAATGTATAATGACGATGTGCATTCAAGTATTGAGTGTTGTGATATAAAAACTTACGCGGATGATACGCAACTTTCGTTTCATTTTGACTTGTCTCATCTGGATGAAGTGTCATATAAGTTACGATCTTGTCAATGTAAGAGACACATGTTTAAGATTAATCGTGATAAGAATACTTGCAAGCTTTTTTGTCCTAAGCACTTGTATAAAAGAGTAAGGGTCAGGATCGCATTGACTATCAACAATGGGCTCATTCCTATTGTGGAACAAGTAAAAAATATTCAGGTCATCTTGGGCTCTAGTTTAAGATTTCACAAACAAGTGAGTCATCTATCGGTAAGCACCTACATCAAATAAAGGCCACATTTTGAATTTTGAAACGCGTGAAAAGCTAGTTCAAAGTTTGATAATGTCCATCCTTAACTATGCTTTAATTTTATATTATGCTTGTCTCGACTATATGAATCGGTTTCGAATCCAAAGAATGCAAAATGACGCTATAGGAAAATGTAGTCATGTCTCCTATAGGATCAAGAAGTTGAAATGGCTGAAATGGATCAACAATTTGAATGTAATCTTAAGGTATTTGTGCATAAGGTAATATGTACTAAACATCCTATTTATTTCCATAGTTAATTGATCACTGAGGCATAATAATAACCTTACAATCCATTTGCATTACACCGCATTCTTTCAAAAATGCAGTGAGGTTGTAAAACTCAACCGACCCTGAGTGGAGAAGCAAAAGTGTTGTAACATTCAAGAAGCTGGTTAAAAATCAGCTGTTATTATCTTTTCTTTTTGTTTTATTTTATTTTATTACTAGTTCTTATTTGGTTTCCTTCTGGTAAAGCAACATAGCGTGGATTTGCCAATTGAATACGATTGTTTTTTCTGTTTTTCATTAGTTCACGTAGTTGATCATCAAATCGATTTATTTATTTTTAGGTTGGTATGTATCTTATTATTGAAAATAGAAACAACAACTGGATATAAGAGTATCCAACTGGTTAAACTTCGCCTTACTGTTGTGATTCTAACAAAGACCATTATTATTATTATCAACACTGTCAATAGGTAATTACGTCATAGTAACTAAAGTTAACCCCTCGTAGATATAGCTAGTAGATGTGTAATAAGTTTGTGATTGTAAAATTCTGAAAAAAAGTTACATTTGTCAATGTGGCAGTGTCCTGTTTGAAAATCCAAGGTACCGGGAATATTTGATGTAAAGTCACCACACTGACTGCCTGAACCAGGAAATAGGAGTTATTAAGTAGTATATAAACACTCCAAATGCCATTAATATCAATACAAAACGCTACAAACGACGCTTCCTAAGGATAAAGATGATAACCATTAAGTTGGAATATATCAATTCAAATTTAAAATGAATTTGTAGGCAATAAGCAGCATGTTTCAACACTATAGTTTACATCAACTTCACTTTTGTTACTGGAACTAATACGGCAGGTGAACTTTCTTTGT